CGACGGGAGCCAAGACACCCAGTTGGACGGGCTGGTCGTTGCCGCAGGCGTCTCCTGCGTGTCTGTCGGCTTGCCAGTCTCCGTAGGTGTCGCGTCGGCTCCAGACTGGATCTTGGTAGGCCGCTCGGGGTGGTCGGAGGGCTTGACAATAGTTGCGGTGTTCTCGGCAGCGTGCGTCATGGTCGTGATAGCAGCTGGCAGAGTGGTGGTTGCAACAAGCGCGTGATCGTTGTCGTCCTCCTCAGTCGGCATGGGGAGGAGGGTTGCCTTGCTAGCGTCAATCGACTCGCCCCAGAGCTTCAAATGCCAGTCGACAAAAGTGCCCTTGTGTTCGTTCTCGTTGGAATCCTTGACCACAACGGTCCACTTGCCAATACCAGATTCACCCCTAATTAGTTGTCAGCATTCCGATCCTAGTGTCTCGCCAATTTTCCGAGCAACTTACCAATGGGCAACACTCATGAAAGTCCAGTCAACGTAGCCAGACTTGGCCGAGTCCATCTTGCGGGTGACAGAGAGGTGACTGGTAACTCCTTCAGGGCTGATCAAGTCGGCACTCAAGTCACCTCTACGCGTGTGGTTCACGTTCATGGTGACGGTCACATGCTCCAGTCTCTCGAGGTTGGCCTGCTTCAGAGCATCCGCAGTGACATCAAAGCTGACCGCGATGCCGTCCTTGCCTTGAGGAATATCCTTGTTAACGTGGATCCAAGGAGAATAGTACCAAGCCTGGGGCTTGACGTTCTTCCAGGCCTTGGCTGCCTCAACCATCTTGAACGCATCAATCTTGCCGTATCCGTACGTGTGGCTGAACTTCTTTCCAATCTTGGTCGGCATCCACTCGCCGTTGGCCTCGTCGATGGGCACAGCGGTGTCCATGGCAAGCCATTGCATATCTCTCCAAGTAAGGTCAGGGCGAGCCTCGAGAACGAGTGCGTAGACACCAGCACCCAAAGGAGCAGCGGCGGAAGTACCACCGTGACCGTTATAGCAGGCATTTTGGCCAACATCAGTGGTGTGCTGCGCAAACAAGTCAGTTCTGGTCCTATCAAGCTAGAAGAGTCTGGAAAACATACGATAGCATCTCCACTGCCACTGCTGTAGGTGACAACAAGCTGAGCCGAGCACTTCTCGGAGTAGTAAGGGTGCTGGCCCTTTCTGTCAATCGCGCCAACTGTGATGCTGTAAATGGAGTTTGTGTAGCCGTCAAAATTGCAGTTGTCATCGTTCGCGGCGCCGTTACCACTGGCAAAGACGTAGATGGATCCCTTTCCGCCACGGCCCTGCTGGATGCCCTTGAGCATAGCACGCTTGATAAGAATACCAGGCGCATCCATGGATCGACCGTCATCCGGAGGGCCCCAGGAGCAGGAGTAAATGTCGTTGTGCTGGTAGTCGTAGGTCATCGCGACAGCCTCGTCGGCATCCGAAATCAACTTGCTCAGAATACGGATACCCGCAATCTTGGAATCATAGGCCACTCCGACACCGCAGACGTTGTTCTTGGCCGCAGACACTTCACCAGCGCACCGGGTGCCGTGCTTGTCGTCGCTGAGCGTAGGCTTGGGCTCTTCGCGGTGGTCGTTGAAGTCGTAGGAACCGGCGGCGTAGTAGTTAGGCTTCAGGTCGTCGCTGTACATGTCAAGACCGTCGTCTACGATGGCGACAGTTGCATTCTTGCCCGTGATACCAGACTTCCACACGCTGGCGACGTTGATGTCGTGGCCAGGCTGGACAGTGTTGAGCAAATGCCACTGCTCGTTGAAGATGGGATCGGCGATGCCGAGGGTCTTCATGACTTCGTTCATCTGCTCAACCATCTTAGGGTCGGCCGCGTCCTGGCGAGCGTAATTGGCCGGCCCATGCGACCGCGGGGGGACTCTCTTCTCCCAAGGCTTCCGAAGCTGCTGTTTCTGCGCAAGACGGACGCCATCGAGGAGGTCGGAGCCGCCAAGCGTGCGTTTCCGCAGCTTGCGCTCCTGCAAGGCTGACTTGACGATGTCGTGCTCGACCTTCCTAGCGGAGAAGATGTGATGGCCGTCGAGACTGCCGAGTGTACCCTCGTGCCTCAGACCCAAGCGGTCGGCAACCTGGCCGGGAGATGTAGACGAATCCAGCTCGAGAACATAGTAATCGTTCGTTTCGTAGTTTCGAGGGGAGGAAGTACCGCTCGCGAGGGCAGCAAGGCCGAGGAGAACCGCGGAAAGCTTCATGATGCGCTGCCGAAGACCCCTCGAGGGGATGTTGATAATGCGCAAAGAAAGGAGGGACTGCAGAGGAAGGGGAGTCGACAATTAGCTTCCGTGCCCGTATCAAAATCGAGTCGAACCATGAAAGGGAAAGGAAGGGGAAGAAAAAAGATGTGAATCTAGAAGAGGTTGCTGGACACAACACGTACCTCTCTCGTCAATCAGGGGAACGAAGGGAACAAACGGGACTTGGCTCGTCTAGGCTGGGGGGGAACAGCGGAAGACGAGACGTGGTCGAGTCGCAAGTGGCAAGGGCGGCCCTTGAAGATGGCCAAAGCTTCTCGATTTCCCTTGCAGCGCGACTCTGCTTTCCGCTTTTTTCTTACGAATGCCTCGAATACACGGGACGCCTCTTATGTACTTTATTGGTACGCCGGTCTGGTACAGCGCAAATCACCTGGCAAAACCCGTTTGTATTGCTTGGCGACGCAAATTCGATGGAGATAGGCGTTGGTCGTTGGTTAAGTATTACTTGAAAGGCAGCAAAGGCCAGAGTTCATGCGTAATAAACAGCGGGGAGGCTCCGTCTCTCCCTCCGTCGTCGTGGACTTTAATATCGATATGACCGACGCCAATGGCCCAAACGAGAACGAGAAGTACCAATAGGTATACGTAGGTAGAGCTGCTGAGCACTCAATAACGACGATACTGGGGATACAGGTGACAAAGTGAGGATAGAAATGCGACGAGTGAACGAGCGATGAGAAACTCAAGACTCAGAAGCAAATGGGAAGGAAATGGAAAATGCTGACGGAAGCAGTGAGGGTGACCTGGAACACAAGGCAGACGTATCCGTACTCTCTTGCCAGATGCACTCAATGCTCCCTCTCACTGCTGTTTCGTGGCCTTCTCGAAAACGGCAGGAACATAAGGATGCGGACAGGGCGTCCAATGCTACCTGCTACAGTCAGACAAACGCCCCCGAAAGACCCCTTCCCTCCAGCCACGGCCGCATTAGATCCTCGTGCTCTCCAGCAGGTTGCAGCCCCAGGTACACGTAAACCTGGGGACGCTAGTCATATGTAGCCGTACCCGTAGACTTAGGGGTCCTGCGGCCTGCGCGTGTCTGGTGATAACGACCCGATATCTACCTAGGTACTTGCACAGGTACTTAATGTAGGTAAGTTTGCAGTACGGTACCTTATACCGAAAGGGAAGGCGGCGATTCAGGTGGGCTGGCAGCGCGCAGTCACTTCCATTGTCTCCAGTTAGGCCCCCAATAAGATGCTGTGGCTCACTGCCGCACCACCGCCCACTCTGCCGTTTCAACACTGGCGCAGCCCGTCACGGCCCCACCTCATTGGCCCGTTGTTGCGACGAGATCCCGTGTGATGTCTTCGTCAAGGTGTCCAGACCCTCTCCATTTTTGCCTCTCACCTTTCACTTCTTACGTGCTGCTGCTGCAGCTGGTTGCGCCTCCCGTCGCTGAAGACTCGTGCTTGGGAAAGTACGTACTCGGGTTCGTAAACATGCAAAATTGCGAGTGCCAGCCAATCTCCAATGTTGAACAGTCAGCAATCCCCCATTCGAGAGATAAGGTAAGGAGCACAGAAAGTCCAGTTCCTCCCATTTCCCGTCCCACCGTGACACCGGTCCCACGACCGCTTCGGATCTTTCCACCTGAATTTAATCTATCGAAACTTTGGCAACGGTGTTCTCCCGCAAAATACGACACAACAGAAATTCTGCTTCTCGCGGTCTCGAGGCAAGGGGCGGACACTGGACTCTGGAGAGTCAGGTCTGACTGTACCAGTGTACCTGTGGTATTGCACCCTGCAACTTGCACGTTTTCATAAAAGGGCCCAAACGTCGAATCAGAGACCACGCCTCACAGAGTCTTGGCTCGCGGCCGAGCTTCAGCATTCTCATAGTTTGCCTTGGCGCTTGACACAATCAACCGTTTCGGAATCTGGTCCCGTTCGTTCTTTTCTCTCGTGCGCCTGTGGCACCATCCTACAATGTCACGAAAGAGACAGACTCATGTATTATACCCTCCCCTTCGTCACAGCGTACAATACTATAATGAATGAATGTGATGTATAATAAGTGACATTGACTTCACTAGCGTTTGCGTGTCTAGTCATGCTCCATGTGAAAAGAGACGTGCCTGCAATCCACATCCGCAAACAATGTTTCCTCTCTAAGATAGTCTTATGTCCAAGTCGCTGGGTTTTGCGGCCTGATCCCAAGGCAAGCCACAACTCTGACAGATACCTCCCGAGACTCATGTCCTGCATACTAGTATAGCAAGAGGCGCCTTGATGGCAATTTCGTCTTGAGCCACATCAGACAACCCTGTTCCTGCATGCATGGACGGCATTCTCGAAAACGGTCACGAATCGGCTAGAGAACAATAATCCAGAGTATACTTCTTATACATCGGAACGACAAATGATCTTCCTACGTAGAGTCGGCCATGTTGGTTTCGTAACTGCCAGCACCCATTTATCAGACTTCACAATCGTGAGAAGAAGAAAATGTATTGATTCATTAATCACAATCCACACGCCCCCATCTTCATGATTATCTCCAGTTCTACCTGACTGGTATGTCCGATACTCCGATGGCATAACCCACTCTCCCGTCTGCTGAATCTGTCCGACGTAATGCTCCGGGGCCATTGGAAGCTAATCCTATACCAACATATAAACCCAATTAGGCGGGTTCGGCCCAATCTTCATCCAGTCCTCGAATCTTTTTACGCGTGATGGCTTTCAACTCGCTGCCCACGTTCTCCCGGTCCTTCCAGCACTACTCCGCCAACCGGCGACCAGGAGGCTCAACACCGGTGCTGCGGGTGCCCGAAACGCCTTGCTCCTCCATCGCCTTGACGTAGCTCTCCCAGATTTCCGTAACTTCGTCGTAGAATTCAATGTGGGAGTCGGCTAGGCCTCCGAGCTGCTTCTTGAACTCGACTCGCTTGATTCGCTCAAAGTCGGCGACCTCCTTGACCACCTCGTCGTCGAACATTTCGCTCGTCTTCTTGGCTCGCTCCGCCTCGGTAGTAAGCTTGTCAATGTTCATCTCCAGCTTCCTTTGGCGATCGCGACGGGCCTGCTCGTGATCGACTCCACGCACGTCTTCGAGCTTGCGCATCAGTCGGCCGCTGGCACCGGACAGGCCTCCGGAGCCATGGCCGGACTGGAGCTGGTCCCTGTCGACAGTGTTCTTGTTAAGATACTCCGTGAGCTGCTCGTAGTCCACCTGCTTCTGCTCTCGCGCCTTCAACAGGCTCTTCAGTGCCGTGCTGTACGCTTGCATGTCCCGGAGACTGCCGAGGTAGTCTCCATCAGTGACATCCTTCAACTTTCGCAGGCCCATAGCAGTGTCCTCGATCGAGTTGGCGAAATGTCGGACTTCGCTCTCAATACCAGGCTCCAGAGTGATGAGCTTCTGGAATTGCTCTGCCAGATCCTTGAAGTCCAGTTCGAGATCGTTCTCCCGGCGCGCCACGCGCGCTACAACCTTCTCGATGTGGGCCAAATCCTCGTCAAGTTTGTCGCTTCTTTCCCGGACCTCCAAGAACCGCTTGTCGTGCTTGTGGGCCTTGGAAAAGGCATTGAGGAAGCTATCGGTAAGGTTGTCAAACACGCCGCTGCTTCCGGCATCGCTGCTCTGGGATCCTCTGAGGCTGCGACTGCGCATTGTGGCGTTCCAGTCCGGACTCTCGAGGAAAATGTGAAGGATATCAGCTCGACGGAGGACGGGGTGGAGGGATAGGCGGTTCAGGAAGCGTTGCAGCGAATGCGCTCGGCGGTTGGTGAAGTCCGGCCCGAAGCGGTTGCCACTAACATATTCCATACGCTGTTTATCGGGGAGAGGAGGAACCGCGGCGGTAGGGTAGTCTCTGCTTAGTGCCTTATACAAGAAGACAAAGTCGGTAAACCGTCGCCGGGCTGTGGTATGCGATCTCTGGAAGGAGGGGAATGTGGTCTGTAGAATCCGTGTCAGCGCGCGAAGAAGCCATAATCGCAGCTTTGTAGCCAAACTCTACAAAGCAGCTTGAGTCTTCTTACGTTGGTGGTGATGAGGTAGGAAACAAAGGTATCTTTGGAGCCTTCATTTTCCTTGAGCGGCTCAGAGACTGTGCAGTCCAGAACTTCCCGGTCGTCGTCATTACCAGGTGCATCGCTTTCGTAGGCATGGTGTCCGTTTCTATCGGCATCCTCATCATACTCAGTGGCCGTCACTGAACTCGAGCTTTCGGCAGCAGTGTGCTCGTCCGTATTCCAGGAGACATTAGAGAAATCATCTTGGTGTTGATCCATGACCGCCATGGCGTCCTGCTAGGCGGACGTGGGGTTATGTGGTTGCTGTCGGGATCCGGAGCAGTCGCTTTTAGTATTGGGGAAGCTAGGAATGAGGATCGTGGGGTGAGCCAGAGGACGCAGCGACAGCAATTGGAATCGCGAAGTTTGTAAACAATCAGATCTAGGAGGCTTGATCTTGGATCGTCGCAACGGATGGAGTTGGCGGAAAGAACGTCTCGTTTGCCGGACAATGGGCTGGAAGTGTCGGCGGCAGTGGTGGGGAATGGGCAAGAGCTGCCTGTCGCTGAACCATGAGAGGTGACGCTGCGAGCTTAGTGTAGCTGACCTGATGCGGTTGGGCAGCGCGATAGCGGGGAGATGGCAGGTACCCACACTTGTCCCTGAAAGCGGTAAGCGATGAGGTAACTCGCTAGCTACCGTGCAACACTATCAGACCTCCAGTTCCGGAGGGCTATGACGACGCCAGCCAAAGCAGACGCAACCTAGAAACAGACGATAGAAGAAGACCAGGGGGTTGCCTCGGATCGTTGAGCGTAACACTAGAAGCTCAGGCCAGCTGCACTCTTCTTTCAGATGAGCGAAACGAACTACAGAGCTAAATGGCTTTTGGACAGATTTGTCTGAGAATTTGAGTCGTTATGGGGGAAAGTTTGCTAGCAACGCATACAACGGCCACCATTATACAGTAGTGAAATCTATTTGCTTCCTGAGATGGATCTTTCTAGTGCCCTGTGATGTTCCCTGGGGGTGTTGTGAACCCTCTTCTTTTAGTACACGCTACCCAGCCTTATGCCATACACGTCTAACAAAGAAAAAGATAATGCTTGTCTACAGCTGCGAGCGCTTTATTTGTCGCTCTTCTCCGCCTTCTCAACCTGCGCCTTTCCATCTCTGGCAATCAACATCTCCTGCTCGGCCTCCTTGGCTTCCTTGGCCTGGGTAGACGTAGCAGCTTGAGCATCCGCTGACTGGCTTTCTTCCTTCTCGTCAATGTTGTCAATATCGCGAGGGGTGGCAAAACCAGAGCTCGCATTCTCCTCGTTCTGGCTGTTCTCCTCATCGATGAGCTCTTGCTGCTCCTTGAGAACCTCCAGGCGCTGCTTGTTGGTAGCGGCGCCCTCAGCGCTTGACACCTCGAGGGAGATTTCGTGGAACAGCTCGTCGGGGATAGACGAGAGAACACCGACGAGGGCCTCGATCTGGCTGTGTGCAGCCACCTGGCCGTACATGTAGGCGTTGCTCAGAACCAACAGAGTGGAGGGGACGCCGTCCTTCAGTCTGAGGTCAAGCCACTGCTGAAGGTACTCGCGCATTCTCGCGGGAGAGACGCTCGCTGTGCGGATACCGCGGCTGGCGCAAGCCATCTGCAGTTCACCGACGCTGAGACTGTCAACACCCTCGTAGCTAATCTGTCTGTCGTCACGCTTGATCTGGCGCATGCGGTGACGGACCTGGTACCGCAACATATTGTCGGTACCGAAGGTGTTGAGGTTCATGTATCTGCACATGGAAACCAACTGGGGTCTGGAGAGGTTGTCCAGGGTCAAGTCATCCTTGAAGATCTTGCAGACCTTGATGATGTCCTCGCGGGTGGGCGACTCGCCGGAGGACCTAAGTTTCCGGAAGAATGTGGTAAATGCCTCACTCTGGGTTGTTGCCGGAGTCAACGGCAGACCAGTCTCTTTAAGACTAGACCGCAAGAACTGGCTGACTTCTTTGCGCGTCGTTCTGAGGATGGTCGCCTTGGCGTCTCTTGACTTTTGTCCCTCATACGTGCTTGGCAGCATGTTGGGGAACAGGCGGAGAGCCACTGGAAGCAGAAGCTCGGCGAAAGGGACAATGACGAAGACAGAGAAGGGTACAAGACGTCCAAGATCCTGGACAGTACGTTGCAACTGGCGGTTCTCTCTCCGACTGAGTTCGTAGCCAGCAGCCATCTTCAAGGCAAGCCGAGTGCTGATCTTGACTTCTGTGGCGAGCAACTTCGTTCCGTCCCAGTAATGGTGAGCCTCCTTCTTGACCTTTTGCCAAACTGTCAATTTCTCCTTGGCGGTCTTTTCGGCATCTGCAGAGGTTCCCTTCGCGGCCGCTAGTTCCGACAATGATGCGTCGGTCTCAGCCTTGTCTGCTGCCGCGGCATCCTTGGATGACTTGCTCTCACTCGCAGCCGCATCTTTGGATTCGGCGGCAGCCTTTGAGTCGGTCTTCGCCGCCGGGGTGCTTTCCTTGGGCAGGGGCTTCTTAGCCGCTTCGACATTGAAGCCCGGCGGCGGGCCGGAGGACTGGCCGTGGTTGTGGTGGTCGGTACCCAGATGACGGACAGGTACAAGGAGGGCGAGGGCGTTTACTCGTCGAGGAAGATGTCTTGCGTTCCGGCCGAGCACAGCTGACGAAACACCGAGGCTAGAGAGCGCACGCGCTGAAAGATGTTAGAGAAGAATTGCAGGCGTGTCCAGTCCGGCACAAAAAAAGACAGCCCATGGAGATGGGTGAGCGGGCAGGAAGCATACGCAGGGGATGGACTTACCGTTGCCCAGGAGAGGGTTGGCAATCGCCGCCCGACGAGCGACACTGGCGGAGGCGCTCATTCTGCAGCGGTTGACTGGCAATCAAGAGAGTTTGATGGAGTTGTTGTGGATAAAGAGCGGACTACCGAAGAGCAGCGATCATGGGCGACTATCTGTAGGTGGGCAGTATACTACAACTAAAGACAATGATGGAGAAGTGGAAGATGTACAATGATGCGAAACGAACTCAAGAATTCTGGAATGGAGGGCAACCGATCGCATCAAATGGAATGCTACCACGACTTGTCCCTGGCTTCCGAAACCACCCATGGCCGGGGGGGCCCAGAGACTACCAGAAACAGCACGTGCGAGATCACGGGGTTTTGCCTCTTTCGCTTCTCTCGGGGTTCGCTTGCAGACAATGAAAGGCGGGCTGGCCGCTGGCACTGCGGGAGGATGGAGATGCTGAGCAAGCACCACAGCACTGTAAGTATGTACCTTTGAACCTTAGAAAGACCTGTAGGGACCACCTCAGATCCCGGTTCACTTTGTCTGAAGATACGTACCTGGGCGTGCTGGGCCGAGCCCGTGCCACTTGTCAGTTCTGGGCTGGCACAGCTGGTTTGTGTGCTGCTGCTGCTTTGGCTTCGACCACTGTTTGTACGGTTTTCCACCCGCTCATTCGTTCGTCTGGCACCATCGCCACAAGGATAAGCCAAAGACGACGGCCGTCTCCTGTAGATCGGTGGGTCATCCTGGCCTTAGCTACCAGAAGCTTGACTTTCTGGGCTTTCGGGCTGTGCAAATCGCTCCCTTAACCCGTGTCGGTGTTAGTAGACAGCAACCGGCAACTAGTTACCGGGCAGTGCGTTGTCGAGGAACTCTGTGGGCTGAACCTGGCCATTCGCCTTTTGTTGGAACTTGAACTTCTTACAAGTTACGTGGGCTTCTCAGATGATGCCGTTTGGCAATGTGGAGGAGACAGATCGGCGGTATCGGGCAGTGCCGTCCGCAGTGGTCAATTTGCAGCAGCCTGGCACAGTTCCTGGGCTGTTGTTACTTGTGTAGCTGACAATTTGAACTGCTAGAATAGGAGTCAAGAAGTCATTGCAGTAGACATGGAAAACTTGGGGGTATTGTCCCGTTATATCGCCAACGTCAAGCCTCCTCCATCGCTGTGCAACTGGTAGCTTTCTCTGACCAGGAGAGTTTGTGGCGCGAAACACTGAGCAAACAATTGGGCAAATCAGTGATGACTGACGGGCAATCCAAGTGCGGCATCGGAATGTTGCCTACTGCGTATGTGCTGGCTGTGGCAGTAGTGTTGCTAATAGCAAACTGTAAAGCGCCCTCAACAATATCCGTAAGACTCCCTGAATTTTCTCCCGACTCCGCTCGACATTTTTTTGGTGGGAAATCACAAGCTCGTCATTCGACTGCTGACTTTCCCTTGCCAGCTGGCACCAGATTGCGACCTTCTCGAGGTACGTAGATGCTATCTTATCTCAACATCGTCACCAGCACCAGCACCAGCACCTGCGGAAGAGTGACGAGACTCGGAGACACTGTGCCCTGGCTGCCTTAGCGTACCCCGGACTTTAGAGCTTGAGACCGGCCGACCAGACGAGTCGAGGCAAACTTGGAAGCAACCAACCAGCCCAAGGCTCAGGGTCCAGCACCAACTGCCAACTTGACGGGGGTGAAGTTGCGAATCCCGACCCACCCCGAGAAGCCAGCAATTCAGTCGAGCCAGTGACGGCGCACCGGTGGAGGAAGATTGACACCAGCAAGCACGCTGCCACGCTGCCAATCTCTACGGATAGAACCAGCGGAGGGTCTTTGGAGGAGAGAGAGAGACAGCGAGATCCGGCCGTCGGCCACATAGCCAGAGTCGACACACGTTCCTCGGGTCCCCTCAACACCCATCCGTCAAATCGACCGATTTCCAAGCATCCCCGTCCGAGGTGCGCACCAGCACCCCCGTCGCTGCACTCGCCTGCATCCCACCACCGCGGTTCTACGTCCGCTCGCTGTTCTCCACCCTCCTTTTCGGCATTCCTTCACAACCACCTCAACCTTTGCGCTTCCTCTCTCTTTTCTTCCTCCTTCTTCTTCCTCCCCTCCCTAGATTGTCGCTATATACCAACGTCCGTCGTCCTGTAAAGATCATGGCTTTCTCCTGAATACCCTCCGAACACGATCCCGTCTGGGTCTCGCGATTCCGACTCGTTCCTTTTCCCCCGCACAATTCGGGGCCAGCGCCATCTCATTCCCGCCAATTTCGAAGCTATCGATACGTAGTACCTGCGGATATACCTCGAACCAACCCCTCCTCCGTCACTCCCAATTCAACCACATTACCTGCGCCAAACGTTCATTGATTCGTGTATACTATGAGACTCCGCAAAGCTGCCCGCGTTATTCTCGTCGGAGCCCCCGGTGTTGGAAAAGGAACGCAGTCCGAACGACTCCTTCAACGGTTTCCCCAGATTCAGTCTATTAGCACCGGAGACCTGCTTCGCAACAATGTCAAGCTCCGGACCCCCCTCGGTAAGTGTCACATGCTATTGCTGCCTTCCAGCGCTTGCTCTACACATCCTCCTACCCATGCTGACCCCTCCTTCTTGCAGGTATCAAGGTCGAGAACACCATGAAGTCCGGCGGACTCGTGGCTGATGATCTGATTATGCGCCTCATCTCCAACGAGATGTACAAGAACGGCTGGCTTCTCAACAGCCGCAGAAGGCCTCAGGTTATGACCTTGTCATCTTCCGCCGCCACAGTCGACTCGTTCTACGAAGAGCAGCTAGATGACTTTGTCACGGCTACCGGAGCTCTCGACAGCCATGGGCCCCCCGAGGCATCCGAAGACCCCGACGCCTCTTTCATCCTGGATGGTTTTCCACGGACTGCCACCCAGGCGGCGGTTTGCGACAAGTTGATTCCGATCAACCTGGTGGTGTCGCTCAAGACCCCGTTCAACGTCATCATGGAGCGTATCTCGGGCCGCTGGGTCCACGAGCCCTCGGGACGCGTGTACAACACATCCTTCAACGCCCCCATGATTCCCGGCAAAGACGATGTCACCGGAGAGCCCCTCACACAGCGCCCGGATGACACTGAGGCGGTGTACAAGGAGCGCTTCCGCAAGTTCCAGGAGACCAGCGAGCCTCTCCTGGAACACTACGATAAGAAGGGCGTTCTCTGGGAGGTCGAGGGCATGAGCAGCGACGAAATCAGTCCCCTGCTCTTCGACGAATTCGAGAAGCGCTTCGTTCATTGATTTGAATTCATCTTTTGTTATATCTACAGGAGTTATACGTGGTCAAGATACCTCGGGCTGGCCAGAAAGACCCATGGCTAAAAACGGGCAGGTCGGACGGACGGGAATAATCCCCCAGGGCGGATGCAGCGCAAACAATCTGCAGCTTGAAATGTCGATAGTTATCATGAGTATTTTTAACAATGTACAAATATGTCATCTCTTACACGAATCTCCTGGCTGCGCTCTGCACGGTCACTTGCCTCCTGCATACATACGATTGGATAAGGTAAGGAGCGCGTAATGCTAACCCGCCAAACCTTTGTACGTAAGGTAAGTCTAAACGAGTTTGTTTGAGACTCTCCTCAAGTTCAAGCAACTAAAACAGCTTAGTCTTGCAACCATCTGAAAGTCGGATTTCCGAGTCAGGTCGATTTCAAAAGTGGTACCTCTTCGCATGAACGATGGGCAGAACTAGACCTCGGGTAGTATTCTAGTAGATGCTGTAACGTGTGCCGCGGGGTAAGATAGCCATCGGGCGGCAAGGGTGCCTTGCTGTCATCCAAACAAGCACTCTCTCTCTCTCTGCCCGGGCCACTGCGACACCGCGGTCAACGTGGCAGGCCGGCTCTTGGGGTATGCGGTTCACCCTTTGGTCCGAGACCCCTCTCATCTCTCTGGTTCGACGGACTACACACGTAGACACATCTACGGGACATTGTAAGGTACTGTGAGGCTGTTGAGACACCTCCGGATACCTCCCCGCCGCCATCCGGCGCCGAGTGATTCCATATTCTTCGGTGGGGAGAAGGGGGTAGACTTGAGCTTGCCGTCCCGTGACTCCCGTGGCGTATTGTGGCAGCCAAAGGTCCGGCCCGGATTTAATGCAGGGTCCACAGTCTCGGAGGAAAGCTGCGGGTTTCCGGGGCACACCGACCACCTTGCATGGTCAAGCCCTTTGTTCTGTCAGACGACGAGTCTGGTAGGCTTGCTAGTGGTGCCAAGGCAGCCTCGAAGTCTTGTAGGTTATTGAATAGGTTGACTGCTGCTGCTTACTGGATGGCCGGACTTAAGGCGGAAGTTCTCACGGTCTACGGCTTGCGGCAACCTCCCTGAAAGTGTCGTCTGGCGTGGAAGAGATTGATAGATGAGTATATATGTATATATGTACGAAGATGGCTTGATGATGATTCCTGGGCTGATGAACTCTGTCTTAACGCGAGCTCGGCCTTCTAGTGTATTAATCTCCCCCAGAAAACGATGCGGTTCTGTCAAAACTCACACGCCCAAATTCCATTTCGATATCTAGCCTTCGACCTTAACCGTGTCTCAAATCCCTCCTCCTCCTCCTCCTCCTCCTCCTCCTGGTAGCTACACCGAGCTGCATAAATACGAAAACCTCGCCGGGCCAGGCGACGCCCGCCCAACGGCCCTCCAAATCGTACAAGACCAAGACCTCGTCGGTAGACTCCCGCATAAAGTCATCCTCGTCACCGGCGTTTCCTCGGGCCTGGGCATCGAGACGCTCAAAGCCCTCGCAGCAACCGGCGTAACCGTCTACGGCACGGCGCGAGACCTCTCCAAGGCGCGGGCCGCCTTAGACAACAACGAGGACGGAGAAGGCGAGTCTCTCGCCTCGGCGCCAAATGTGCATCTCCTCGAAATGGACCTCGCCAGCCTCGACAGCGTACGGGCCGCGGCGGCGGAGTTCAAGAGGCGCAGCGACCGGTTGGACATCTTGATTAACAATGCCGGGGTGATGTACACACCCGAAGGAAGTCGAACAAGAGACGGCTTCGAGATGCAGTTTGGGGTGAACCACCTCGCGCACTTTCTCCTCTTCACGGAGCTACGAGACCTCATGGCCTCGTCATCGACGCCCGGGTCCGCGGCGCGGGTTGTGAATGTCACGTCCTCGGGCCACAGGCTGCAGGGGATGAACTGGTCCGACGTCAATTTTGTCAGTCCCGGCGCGTACGAGGGATACAGAGCCTACGGGCAGTCCAAGACGGCCAACATACTCATGGCTAACGGCGTGGACCGGCGGTACAGGGCCAGAGTAGGAGGCGGGGGGATCCACGGGTATAGCGTTCACCCGGGCACGGCGATGACGGGGTTACAGGTTGGGGTGAAAGAACAAATGGAGGCGTTAAGGGGGAACGAGGCGGCGTGGAGGACGGTTAAGAGTCCCGCGCAAGGGGCTGCTACGGCGGTGCTGGCTGCGTTGGGGAAGGAGTTTGAAGGGAGAGGACCGTTTTATCTGGAGGACTGTGAGGTCAAGGGAGAGACGGGGGAGAATCTGGGATGGGCGGGCGAGGGGTATGCTTCGTGGGCTTGGGATAGGGGGGAAGAGGAGAGATTGTGGGCTTTGAGCTTGGAGATGGTTGGGTTGCCGGAGGAAGCAGGCGGCGACTGGTAAGAGTATTGTCTTCGTATATGGTGATAGTTTTTGAGTGAGACGTTTAGAAATCACATTGACCAGTCTGTATGAGTGGTCTCTTGTTGAGTAAGGGACGCAAAGTCCTTTTGTTCTTGGGACGATGCGGACGTCTCGTGGTTCTTCTCAATTGTAAACCTTCCTACTCCTCATCATATTTTGGGAAGAATCTGAACTCGCCGCGGTGCTTAGGGACATGTTCTCAGCCTTCTTGTGGTGAAGAAAACGAATTGTAGTACCCCTGCCTGGCTCACAAGTAATGTCAGCGTTGGAGAAAGGAAAAGACACAGGAACGGCTTGGCCAATGGGTTTCGGTTACCAAAAGGCATTTTAATCCTCACCTCTTTTTGAATTGGTCTCTATAATCACATCTGGGAGCACCTGGCCATGTGTTGGTGATCGAAATTAGTTAGCTTGATGCTTTGGAAAGTGACGTTCCTCCAAGTCTCCCAGTGGATGACGAAATGAACTGCCGCCAACAAGTTCTCTCTCGCCTACATTTCTAGCCGTATTACTTTTGATACCATAACTTTAATCACCTGTGTAATGTAGTTCACTTCTCACATCACACACCTCGAGAGGCATGGAAGGAAAGAAAACTTAAGCAATGAGCGGCACGCTAAATTGTCATACATTTGCGTCCTCAGCAGAAGCCTCCGAGTTTTGAAGGCTGAATGAAGCGTTCAATCGAAACCAGATACCGCAGAGAGCACGCCTCCTGTAACACGAATACTACGATAGAAGTTGAACAAGGTCCGAACATGTCACAAACATGAACTGAACATCAAGTGTAGTACTCTCTTATTCCTAAGTATGGCTGCGGTGTCCCCCTGGTCCCGCACAGCAAATCCACCTGCAAAAAGCGTTTGTTAGTCTATTCACCAATATCAAATAACACGGCGAATTCAAAAAAGGCAGAAGAAATGACTACAAATGTCGTCGACTTAACCTCATGCAAGCTCAATCCAGTTTCCGCTGGATGGTCGTGGACGCACCGTCGCATCTTGGCAGCTTTCCGCCCGCACGTGACCGTCATATCTTCGGAAATCATTTCGCGAGAAAATGGCGAGAGTTACGGGTACTAACCAAAATCATACCAGAATCCACAACAGCATCTTTCCCCCCCGCGAGTCGCAACCGGGGCAAGGGGGAAACTAGACAAAAAGAAAAGCTCTCGCGACCTCGTGGCGGGACAATCCGCTTTCTCCTCCTCCGCCCCGTCTGCCCCGTGGAGAAAAAAAAAACAGGTCGACCGTCGGCAGGTCGGTCGACTCGGCCCTACCCACGACGTTAAGGACCAAGTCCACAATGACCCCGAGATGACAGACCACTTTCCAGTTTGCATCCCGAGGGGTCGGCTGCTCCGGGCTTTGGCCGACGTTAAGTCCTGTTGACTTTTTTTTTGGGCGTTTTCTTCCTCTTTTCCCTACCTCTGTTGTTTTTCAACAATTTTTCGCCGGGCCCTTCTTGGCGCTTTGTGTTTGGGCATTTACTATTCGTCTTTGGCTTTCCTGACGAACAGGCTGTCTGTCTGTCTCATTTCGCATCTCATGCCCTAATGGAATCGATCAGCGAGTGCCGGATACCACGTCGTCAGCCCTAGATAGCAATCATAGCATGAAGACGAAGGGGGGTCTTTGCGGGCGCAGAAAAGCAGAAGTTCTCTCTCGACCATTGAGACGGAGACTTGACTGGTGACCGGTTGGTCGTTCCCTTCAGCTTTCATTTGATTCATGTTCAACAGCCCAAACCAAACAAAACTCAGAGAAGCAAGTGCAACCCCCCCACCCCTCAACAAGCGTCTTGCGTCGATGCGAAAGCGTATGAGCGTCAGCGGACCGAAAAGAGGTGCGTGGAGACTTTTTGGAGACAGGTCCTCCACATTTCCCCCGAGTGGGAGCCCGGACGAACTCCCCTTTTCACGCAAGGCGGGAGGATGATCGATTTCACCCAACGGGGGTCATCGCTATCGCAACCCCCTGCAGGACGAGAGAGACTTGTAGGCTCGCAGCGAAGCAGACTCGTGGCAGCGTATGTAATCGTCGTTCCATCGGTTCCAAATGCCGAAAGAAGGATTCCCAAGGAAGGGCTCGAAGGAGGGCTGGGCGTCAGCCTTTGGCTCTCTGCCAAGCAATGGTCTCCAAGTCTAGGCATCATTGTTGTCGTTGCTGCTGCTGCTGCTGCTGCTGCTGCTCTTTCTTCTTCCACTTCTCTCTCTCTGTATCTCTCGCACGCTTTGCATATCGCTGTGTCGACTGTCTTTCCAAATGGTCCGAGGAGCAGCCGTGAAGCAGCGAAGCTTGTTGCGGGAATACGACGTAGGTCGAGTTTTCCCCAAGGGTTAAATTTGGATCTTTTTGCCGTCATGGCCCATGGGAAGCTTTTCAGTCCGACCTTTTCCCCGTTCCATGGTCACCCATGTCGTTGGGTCCACTACTGTATCGGCTACAGCCACATCTTAAAATCAGCTTTTTGCTGCAGGACTGCGGAAACACGCTGTCTGTCAATCAGTGTCATGGTGTGTTGGGCTCCGATCCCCCCAGGCTCGGCTTGAGTGTAGCATTCTGGATGTATGCTATGTAGTAGCGTGCTCCATACACTAAGAAGTCTGAGTATCTGAGAAAGTGGGAGAGTTGCACTCCGTAGAAAGAGGCGTGAGACTCGAGGACAAGCGCCCGCTGCCCACCCGCCCCTGTCCGGGGAACGCCCGAGGCCTTCATCCCGGCTTTTTAACCAACTCCTTCCATATTATCCCCTCCACGTCCCCATCGCAGGAGCTGAGCTGCGCAGTGCCCGCTCTTTGAGACTTTCCTCAGTCGAAAGAAAGCACAGTCAAAAAAGCAGGAAGGAACCTTCATTGGCGCGTTTATATCCAAGAGCAAGCTTTGGGAACTTGGCAAGGACGACCTTTCTTCAAGACTCAACGACCCTGGCAAGAGAGACTGGACGAAGACGACCAACAACAGCACACCATCTCCAGACTCCACGTTACATCCCCTTTTTCTTACGGATTCATTGCTTCCAGGGAACCCGGCTGCCACTCTAACGCCTTCGAAGACGACCAGTCCTCCATTCCTTGGCCCCCCCACGTATCTTTGCTTGACGGACGGTTTTCCACTTCTGGGTTCTCCCATTTTCCCGCCGCCTCATCTGCCTTAATCCAGGCTTATCCTTTTTCAATTTCGTTTCTGCCTACCGACGGATACAGGCGACGGATACACCAAAGTGAGGGACCGCCGATCGAGAAACGACTGTCTATCTGCCCTACCGTAGCTCCCATACCCTACCTTTTTATCCCCTTCCCCAACGTCGCCTGGGAAGACGAAAGAAGGGCCTCAGGACCTGCAGAGACGGGACGTACCTCGAATCCTACGCGCGGGCCCCTGCATGCGCCAGCAGCTGTGAGGTGCTTCTTTTGGTCGGCCGGGAAGAATCACCACGAACATACGAACTACATCTAGAAGAAGCCAGGAACGTGCGGTACTGAGGGACGACTTTTGCGTTATTTTCCCAATCTTTCAAACAAATCCCCGCCGCCCGCCGCGCGGCGGGCCTGCAATGTCAAGATGGAGGAGGAGAAGCACAAGTTCATCATCCCGATCCACGAACGGCGTCAACCCGGGACCGTGACCATCGACCCGAATTCCCTACCGTCACAACCGCAACACCAACCAACAACACCACTACCAAATAATGAGGCTCAATCGCCCATAGATTCCTCCCCCAGGATACAGCAAATCGAGTCCTTCACTTCCTACCCGCCGGGCGCCCACCTCCGAGGGGACGACATACCCGACGCCTCGCCGCCCTACCCAGAGTCGAGAATCAGCTCCGAGGCGCCCGTTGTCACACCGGCGCCAGTGCCCGCACGAGGACAAAGCCACCACCACCGCGTCTCGGCGCCGGCTCTGGCGCCTGCCGACCCCGAACGGCAACAGGGCGGCACCTTGGCGGCATGGAGGCAGAGGTTTGATGGTATCGGCGGGAGGGGGCCACAGCAGCACCCGAGAAAGACAATCTTGGGCCTAACCGTGCTACGCTTCTGGGCCGCAGTCGCACTGGGAGTCATCATCGTCGGCGTCGCCATCGCCGTGGGTCTGGCGTTGGGTTTGGCTAACCGGTACGTCTGACGAACGAGCTTACTATCTACCTACCTTACCTTTCCACCCATTCCTCCTGTCAACTCTTTGTCTCTCCTCCTCCCCCGTCTTCGTCATGACAGCCTCGAAGGCTGACGGAAAGCGTCCTCCTTTTTGCGAAATTCAGCCCCTCCGACGAAAACGAGCCAAAAGCCGTAATCCAACAGCTCGGCGTCCCTTCGCCCGCCCCGATCAACCCGTACTGCCCGCTAGCTACTGCGGGCGTGAACACGACGGTAACCCCCTACGACGCCTCCGGTTCCCCCATTCGCTTCAACAACGACGAGGTCATGTCTTTCGACGTCCTCTGCAACACGTACTACCCGATGCGCCAGGGGATCAACCCGTACCTCCGCGACATCCTCGTCATGACCGTCCCGGATATGCTCACCTGCATGACGCTCTGCGCTCAGTACAACCAGGGCTACAGCGACGCCGTCGGCGACGACGTGTTCCTTGACGGCGGCGGCATCTGCGTCGGCGTCGCGCTCGTCAAGGGCACGGCGCAGTTCTGTCACTTACAGAACGCCACGGGGATCAACCAGACCACCGCGTCTGGCGGGTTCGATGTCGATAGCGCCGTGCTTTCGGGCCAGTGGGCCAGCCTGACGAGCGTGGAGCAGATTCGAACCTTTGGCGGGAATATTGACGATGTCATTGGCGCCAACGCGACTACGACTACGACTGCGGCCGCAACGGCCACGACCGGTTGATCCAACGACGAACCGACGTCCCGGTAGATTGTTGGAGCAATTTTCATGTCAATACTTTATTCCCGTGTAATGAAACGAGGGATTCTGTGTTTTTGGTTGAAGCGATTTGGAGTATTTATCGACCCTCCTCAACACCTGGAACCGTTCATCAGGAGTCAACGCTGTTCTCTCTTGGTCTAACTTTTGGTCCTGGTGCGAATTCACTCTTTGGGGAAGGAACATTTGTGATAATATACAGCGATGACATTGGCGAAGCGTTGTGTTGGATGGATTCGAGCGAATTTGGAGCGAGTTTGGAGGCGCTTATGACGAGGGAGCTCCCAAGTTTGCAATGTTTTGATCTACGAAATGGGAGGCGCCCGGAAGGCACGGCGAGCCCCTGACTCGAGACTAGTGACAGCTTGCGAAGAAGGCGTGCCTATCCACGAACGAGACATGGTTGTATAAGCTCATTAGTAGTGTCCAGCATTTTGGACGAATGTGTCTGGAATGCCGCAAATATACGCAAGAGGCACCAGGCGCAGACTATAGATGACGCTGCCAACACAAGGAACATGAATGGAAACTGCATACATCATGGAAAGTCAACTGTGTATTGATTCTCTCGTAAAACGTACAACAATTTTATACCCTCAAAAGAGAACCATGTCCAAAAACTCCGCTTTGAAGACCGTCTCTTTGTGGCCCTCGTACGCTATTCACTACAAATACTTCTGCTAGCACGACGCTTCCCGCTTCAGTGGCCTCGTGTCCACTTAGCGCTAGACAGCCTTCTCCGAGGCGTCAGTGTGTGAAGCCGAGCCCTTACGGGACGCGGTGAGTCGAGGAATGTAGATATTCAGGCCACCAGGTTCGAGCAACGGGACAGGTATGTGGCCCGAGGGCTAGTTGCGCCACTCAGAACCGTTGTCGATCCCGGCGGGTGTGCCATTGCTTCCGGACGCCTTGTTCGTATCGTCGTCATCATCATCGTCCAGCACACGGGCGAGCTCGTCGGGATCCTGCATCTTGGCATCGGGGTCAATGACACCCTCCTCGAGCTCTTCATCCCGGCGCTGGTTGTCCCGGTCGGTATCCAGAACACCCTCATCAGCGCTGACTGAGATGCCACGGGCACCCCACTTGGGCCGTCCACCACCGCGGCGGCCCTGGCCATCGTCGTCGCCGAGAGCAGGGGCGCTCTCCTCGTCGTCGGAGTGGGCATCAATGCGCTTTCCAAAGATTCTGTTGAGCAGCCAGCCTCTACGCAGGTCGTCGGCATCAACAATGCCACCGTTGCGGAGCTTGACGCGTTGGCGAGTGTAGTATACCCAGGCGAAGTCGACATACAGCGCCGTCTGGATAATGCCGAAGATGACGGAGACCGTGTTTGGCGCCTTGTCGTTGATGTCGAGCTCACGCGTGATCCATCCGATCAGGTATAATCCACGGTACGAGCCAAGAGTGACGAGGTAGAAGGAGTCGATGACGGTCGGAACGGTGGTCTGGCGAAGCAGGAGCAGCTGGGGCAGGACGCAGATGGATTCGAGGATCTGGCTGAAGTCCCAAAGCCACTGTTGGCATGACGTTAGCAGCTGTATGGCCAGCAATGACTAGCATTTCGTGCGAGGTCTTTACTTACGACGCGGAAGCTCCACCAGCTCTCAAAGATGAGCATGGCAAAGGGAGACAAGACGAGCGAGAGGCCGAAGACGCCGGCGCCGACCTTCCACGAGAGCTCACGTTCTCTGGTGCGGGGGAAGATCCACTGCATGGCCCCGATGATGTAGAAGGATGATGAAATGTAGAATATCTTGAAGATGAAGTTCCATGCTGATTGTTCGGAGAAGATGTCGAGGTAGCGCGTGCAGAAGACCAAGGCGTACAGACCCTGGGTGATGAGGGAGACACCTGCGCAGACACCATCAGTCAACAGGCATTCGTGGTATAAAATCGGGCAGCGTACCTTCAGCACTCCTGTTGCGATGTATCGCAATCATCAGGATGCATTTGGAGAGGAGATGGGAGATGTCTCCCATGAAACGAAATACCTGGCCAGCTAGTTAGCGGACTGCCTCGGGAATCACGTATCTAGGTCGACGCAGCACGTACGTTCCACGCAGTCATGGTGCCGGATGGGAAGTCGAGCTTCCAGCGTATTCCGATGTGTAGAGAAGTTGTGATGTGGTTGGTGTGAGGGACTCGGGGAATGCGATTGCGACACGCAAACAAGAACGGACGGGAAAAGGGAACGGCAGCTCCGTTTCACATCACACGAAGGCCGGCGAGCCGTCCACGGTGGAAGGGGGAGAATAGAATCGGATGAAGCTCCGATGGAGAGGCCGGATCCGTTTGAAACGAAGCTCGGCGATGGGAAGGGGTGAGATGGGTATAAGCAAGCCGAGGAATGAAGCTATTTCCAAGTTGAAAGTGCGGGAAGGTTACGAAGCTCGAGGTGCCCTCCTGCCAGTTTCCAGATTCAGCTCTTACGCCGCGCGGGCAGTCACGCAGTTGCGCCCCCCAGCTGCACCTGCACCAGCTGGCCTTATCAGCTCGAGCCTGCGCCTTATCCGTGCTGGGGGAAGGTGACGACAGCCCCAGGCCCCCAGCCACGTTGTCCTGCCAGGAAGAGATTCTATTGGCTCGTATTTGGCAGGGTCGCTTATGTAACCCCCACCTTGAGGGATAGCGCCAGTGAAGAAAGGGTGGATATTGCCCCGACATTACCTGCGCTGCTGCGCGTATTGCAAAGGCCATGCCCAATTAAGAAATGCATCTTCAGGCGGGGGGCATGAGCAAGGTAGAAGAAGCTGCTTATTGACCGAACTTGGCTGCCTACGACACAAGGGTTGTTTGTTTGACGATTTGGATGGCCTTCCTCAGAACGTTTCGGTCGTCCTCAAAGGTCAGTCTCTGTACAGCTTCATCAAGACCAAAGAAGCTCGCACTAAACTGAGCCTCCCCACCGACCGCCTCTTCCGCAGTTCCCTCCTCAAGAGTCGCGACATACCACCAGATGAGTTTCACCCCAGATCCCCCATCAACGTCTCGCATCGTCAGCATAAACGGCTCCGTGAGTCCTCGACGCGCGGCTGCTTGATCTGGGACATTCGCATCGTCATCCGGTCCCGTCGCCCGCGTGGCCATATCAACAGGCAGAAGTCGGCAGCGGAAGCCCGTCTCCTCATGCACCTCTCGTAAGGCTGCCTCGTGCCTCGACTCGCCGCAATTGCGTCTGCCCTTGGCCAGGAGCCATTCGTCTGTGGATAGGTAATGAATCAGGCAGACCCTTGCCGGGTCTTTGGACAAGTCGAAGGGGATTGCGCCACAGCTCTCGACAAAAGCTTCAGAGGCGTACTGCCTGGTGACATAGTTGGAGGCTGCCATTTTGGGCCTGCCTTACCCGCTGGCTTGGGTCGGTCTATATTGGTAGCGCGAGCGGAGTCCTCTTCCCAAGTTCCCGCAGAGTCGATCTCATGGCCATCTAGCAGCATGGTGTTGTATTGCAGAGTCGTCAGTGCACAGGCTCGGCGCTGTTGTTTTTGGCGGGGACCCTTGTCTCGCTTGCTTCCGCGCCGGTCTACGGATATTCGTACAAAAGCTGGCCGGCCGTGCTTTCTTAGGCCGACCGGGTTGCGCAGCTGTTCATGGCGCTAGTCGTCGACGGACCGGCCGCGAAGGCCAAAATTTCCAACGAATTTGTCCAATTGTCAAATCAGAAGCCACTGTGCGATGATGAAGCTGGCTCAGGTGCTAAGAGACGAGAAGTCGACGATCGCATTCGCTCCACACTATGTGCCATGTACTCAGTGTGTCAGTATCGCAAATTCGGTAGGGCCCGAGGTGACTCTGAGCATGAACTTCGATATTACCATCTTTTGGACTCGGTGCAACCGATGGCCTTTTTTCTGATGTCGTCCCAGGCTATAACGTATCTCGGGGACTAGTGTGCCAGCTACCTCTGCTGACAAGCTTAATTCTCGGGATTTAGTCTTTTCTACCATCAACTCTACCCACGAGGATAGCTGCACTTGTATCTTCACTTCACGGACAAGTCAGGATGTTGAGCACAGACAGAGGATAATGCTCTAGAATAGTAGGATCTCATTCTCGAGCCTTGACCGAAATTCATGAGTCGGATCGCCCATGGCACTACCGAGATCCCACATGCCACTTATCATGATGGAATGAAATGCAATGACCGATAACCAGGCCACGCATCTCACCGCGTTGAATGACACTCTGTAATCGCAATCAAGCCAAACGGCTTCCGGCGACGATGAGACAACAAACGCGGCCACCCGAGCGCAAAAACACAAAGCTCCATCCCGTCCCGTGTGCAATTTCCAGCGGTCCCCCAAATGAGCCAAATGGGGATACAGATCGAAGCCAAAAAGCAATCGGAGCAGTATCCCCCTTGGGCCCGCTTGAGCCTCATTAAATTCCACAGCATTGCGCCGCGCGCAGCAAAGGACAATTAAGAAAGACGTCGTAAGCACATTGTTAACGCTGCGTGGAGTCGCCCCCCCCCCCCCCCCCCTCGGGATGTGGGCGGCAGTCAGGTAGGCATCGCCCATAGCACCATAGCACCATAGCACCAGCACCATAGGATATTCCCATTCCAAAAAAGCAACCCAACGTATGCAAGGGCCACCCAATGCCGGTCCGCCCGCGATATCTTTAGTGCGGGAAGAGGTGCGGGACACACGGCAGCGCCAAACGGCACCGTGGGAGAAATGGGGGGCACAATATGACGCGGCCCAGCCGAAAAGAAAAGAAAAAAGCACCAACAGGGACACTGCTACGGACCTACACCGTCACGTCAAAGGAAACCCAACATCCCACACCCCATGCCTGGGCCCTGGGTGAGCATTTTCGGCTCTCTCTAACGCGGTGCAAGCTCACCCCGGGCCATCAATGGCGGGTAAGTCGGCCCCCCAAACGCCCATCGCTGATGCTTCCGTCTACTCTGCTCTGTTGTTGCCCGTAGGACACAGCCAGGGCTTGCTGTGTTGGTCCGGCCGTTTGTGCGGTTGTCGCAGTGCCGGCGCGTACGTAGGTACATGTGGGGGTGAGCTGGGATTAGAAGGGAACATGGGTTTTTGACAGAGTCTCTGCCGCAATACCGCCCGCGCGCCGTTGGGGGCTTGCAACTTGCGTTCGAATTCGGAGGAGGCTAAGCTTGTTGATCACATCAGGTTTTTGGGGGGCTCTTACGCATGCTTTTCCTCTTGCTAACCTGTTGCTTCGGCCCTTGGAACTGAACACACACCCCGGTCTGGCGCCTTCGCCGCCCCTCTCTCTCTCACCCCGTCCCGTCAATGGATGGGTAACCGGGAGCACGCATCGGGTTCTTCGGCGGATTGGGTCGTACGTACACCACGCAGTACATACACTACGGGATGATGGGGGGAGGATGGAAGGAATGCATATGTGTATGTCTATTGGGAAGAGTTGGAGGTAGATAAAACCAGTGCGGCCCCCTCCCCTCCCGTCTCCTCTTGAGCTGTTCCTCTGGTGGAAAAAGTGATTGGTGTACCTGTCGAGCTTTGCTTTATCAAAGTTTTTCTTGGCTTGCACCTGGACGGAGGTTCCTCGACTTTCGACAACCTCGCCGCAAAATCGGAATACCTCATACTGCAGGGACTTGGGGGAAAGAAGGAACCAAGCGCTCTTGCTCCCTGTTCAAGCTTGCCTGCTTATCGCCGCACCGCACCGCACCTCTCGATGACGTTTTGCCCACCTCAGACGAACAGGAACTGAGAAGGAATTAAACGACCGCAACTTCCGGAGCTCTCCGATACTCATATTTCTCAAAAAAGAAAAATACCATACAAGCCAAAGTCGCAACAAAGTTTGGAGCTTCCAAAAAAAGTCGACATCAGCCAAAGTAAAACGGCGGAAAATCAAGCCAAAATGCAAATCGGACGCCTCCTCTCGACGATCGTCGTTGGTCTCACCATCGCGCAAGCCACACCGATCCAAGACAAAACTTCAGCCTCAACCCCTAGTGTGGAAGAGCGGAAGGAATCGCGGGGTAAGGCACCCAAGTACTTTCAGGAATCAGAGTAAGTCATCAAATGCTTCTCACGCCAATTTTTGTGCCTTTTTCGATATCTTTGGGACGATGAGATTTGGGGGGTGGAGATGAGATGAAAGAAGCGACCAAGCGTCTTCCCGAAACTCTAATAAACCATCCCATGAAGATCACCAACACCAACACCTTCCTCACGACCTAGTACCTTATTCTCGACGGTATAACTAACACCCACACCAGCTTCTCAATCCACTACGACGCCCGCTTCGCCACGAAACCCCTCAACGCAACAGCCCAGCGCGAAGCAGTACAGGTCCTGATCCAGACCTACCTCGCCACCCTCCGCGACCTCGGCGTCCAGACCTGGCTCATGCACGGCTCCCTCCTCGGCTGGTGGTGGAACAAGCAGACGCTCCCCTGGGACTCGGACGCCGACGTCCAAGTCACCGAGAACGGCATCAACTTCCTCGCCGCCTACTACAACATGACCACCTGGTACTACAAGTATCCGACCATCCCGCAGGGCCGCTACTTCCAGCTCGAGGTCAACCCCAACTACGTCCACCGGGGGCAGGACAGCTTTGACGAGGACAACGTCATTGACGCCAGATGGATCGACATGGACAATGGGCTGTTCATCGATATCACTGCCGTTCGCTATGTCGAGGACCACCCCGAGGGCGAGGGTGTGCTGGCGACCAAGAATGGCCACGAGTTCCGCGATACGTTCCTGTATCCCTTGCTCGATACCACTTTTGAGGGTGTCAAGGCCAAGATTCCTTACAAGTACAAGGAGATGCTTATCTCTGAGTATGGAGAGAAGGCTTTGACAAATCAGGAATTCATGAAGTAAGTCTTCATAACCTCCAATGCACCCACTGGTTGCTAACGATATTCTCTAGCCATAAGTTCGTCGACAGCAAGATGCAATGGATTCCTACTGATGAACTCTGAATCAAGAGGCATAGGCGGCTGTACGACTTTCACGGATAGATGTATGGGCTCAGGCGTTTGTGTCAAACTTTCGGACAAGGTGTCCGCTTTCAAAACTGATCAGTCTTCATTTGTGGCGTTAGGGAATACCCAAAGCTCTGATTTCAATAAGAAAAATGCCAATCTTCGCTTCAACCCAAACCTGTTGCTGCATGCTCGCTGTCCATATCAAACTGCTCCTCATGTCTCAGACCTAGTCCTTGTCAATATCCTCGACCACCGCCTCCGCGATAGCACCGCCACCTTCCACCATGCTGGTTTTCCTGATTTCGGTCATGGTCACATTGTCGTGCTCCCCAGGTTTACCGAAGTGTTGCTCTGAGTACAATCATCCATGGTCCGCTTCAAATGACCTTGTAGAGCGCTGATGTGGACAATCAGGGGGCATTTGGAACCGCCGCTACATGTATGCGGGATGCGGCTTGCCAAATTGTTGACGCGCTGAGAAATCGTCGAGAGAGTGGCATCGTCCGAGGTCCAAATAGTGGTGGGCCACAATGTCTGGAGCGCGAGGATCCTGAAGTACTCGCCGACTCGAGAATTTTTCGTACAGACATCATCGTACAGTGTTGCATTGAGACAAAGGTGGCATAATTTGGCGTTGGACGGGTGTCGCCGCCCATAGCTGAGACAGAGCCGTCTGGTGGTGATGTATCCTTCGCTCTGGGTGTCCAGGAGGCCCTCGAAAGACCAAATACGCGAGCAAGCTCGTACCAGTCGTTCGTTGACATCAAACTGGAGTCCATCTAGAGTTGAACCGTGTTAGCTTCATGCATTTGACACATACTAGCTTCTATCCAGTTGCCATGGCGCAGAAAATCGCGGAAACAGGGGAGAGATAACAGGGACCAGCGAAAGTGTAACTCCGTCACTCTTACCGAGAGATTTGCAATTTGCTAGAGTCAAGAGCGGCGGGATTCTTGCCCAGATTTCTCGGAAATGCATCGGAAGATTGTGCATAGCAAACTGCCTCAGCTTGACGAGTTCGTCTTTGGCCTCAAAGTTATCCGCTGACTTCAAAAGCATTCCAAGCTCTACAACAGATGGCTGTTCGCCATCGATAATGCTCTGGAGGGCTTTTGGGTACCAGATGCCGATCTACGGCGCGAGCGCGTCGTTACACTTCAAGAAAAGGCTCATTTCCGAGACTCGAAAAAGCTCTCCAACGTCGAGTTTCATGTACTCATCTTTTTTGGTGTGGTGCAAGACCGAGAGTATGCAGCGGAGGGCTTGCCCGTCGAGTCTCCATGATCCAGGTACAGGTAAGAGACGGACGAAGATGAACTTGCAGCCATCCTTTTCGCTCAACTGTGTATCGATCAACTTTGCAAATAGTGCCGAAGCCCGGCAGATCTGG